GTGGGGTCCCCTTTTGGATCTCTTTCTTTAATTTTGTATGTTGAGTTTTTAGTTTTCTTCCTATCTTTGGTAAAAATATGTTATTATGCATTTCAGGTTGTTACTAGATTGATGAAAAAGAAGTCTAGTCCAGATGGATAATTTACCAGATGAATTACTCTTGGATATTTTGGGAAGGATTAAGAGAACCACTGATAGGAGTTCTGTATCCCTAACTTGCAAACACTTCCACAAATTGGCTAATGGGCTGAGAACATCTATCCGCGTGGGGTGTGGGTTACATCCTGCCTCTGATGCATTAACTGCTCTATGCAACAGATTCTGTAACTTGGAGAAAGTGGAAATTTTCTATTCTGGTTGGATGTCCAAGTTAGGGAAGCAGTTGGATGATCACGGCCTTCTCATTCTTTCAAGTCATTGCCCTTCGCTCAAGGACCTCATGTTGAGTTATTGTACTTTCATTACGGATGCTGGTCTGAGTTACTTGGCTTCATGCTCGAAACTTGCATCCTTGAAGTTGAACTTTGCCCCCAGAATTACTGGTTGTGGCATCCTGTCTCTCGTTATGGGCTGCAAAGGCCTTACTGTGCTTCACCTGATTCGGTGTCTTAATGTCAGTAGTATGGAGTGGCTAGAATATCTTGGAAACCATGAAATGCTTGAAGATTTTTGCATAAAAAATTGTAGGGTGATTGGAGAAGGTGATTTGATTAAGCTAGGGTCTACTTGGAGAAAGTTGAAGAGACTGCAATTTGAGGTTGATGCCAACTATAGATACATGAAGCTTTATGACCGTTTGGCAGTTGATCGGTGGCAAAAGCAATGGATCCCATGTGAGAACATGCTTGAACTTAGCTTAGTGAACTGCGTTATCAGCCCTGGGAGAGGGCTTGCATGTGTTATAGGCAAGTGCAAGAATTTGGAAAAGATTCACTTAGACATGTGTGTTGGGGTGAGGGACTGTGACATAGTATGTTTGGCCCAGAAATCAAGCAACCTTCAATCAATCTCTCTCCGGGTTCCATCAGACTTCTCCCTTCCTCTTCTACAAAACAATCCGTTGCGGTTAACAGATGAAAGTCTAAAGGCAGTGGCGCAGAACTGCTCTCTGCTTGATACGGTTAGGTTGTCTTTCTCTGACGGGGAGTTCCCCTCATTTTCTTCCTTTACATTAAATGGAATACTAATGTTAATACAAATGTGTCCAATAAGAGAACTTGCTCTTGACCATGTGTATTCTTTTAATGATGTTGGAATGCAAGCTCTTTGTTCGGCACAATATCTCCAAATCCTGGAACTTGTGAGGTGCCAAGAGATCACAGATGAGGGCCTGCAGCTTGCTGGCCAAATTCCTCAATTGTGTATATTAAGGCTGAGGAAGTGTTTGGGAGTAGCTGATGATGGGTTAAAGCCTCTTGTCGGATCTTACAAGTTAGAGTTGTTGGTTGTGGAGGATTGTCCACAGATATCAGAAAGGGGTGTTCAAGGAGCTGCAAAGTCAGTCTCCTTCAAACAAGATTTGTCATGGATGTACTAAGTTTTCCCATTTGTAAATATTTTTCCAGATGTTGTACAGGTTAGGTTATTGTGTCTGTTCGACCTTTTGTACAGTCACTCGTTTCATTTTGTTCAATAACTATTCTGTAATCTGCATCACGAAGTTCGATTTGTCCACATGTTGCATAATAAATGTTAATCTGAGGTTCTGTGCCATTCCCTGTGAAGCAGCTTGTCACTACTTTCTACTATTATTTGTGTATCTTGTTGCATATTGAGGGTCCCCTACTTGTGCTCATCCTATAACATGTTTGGTATGAAATTGATAACGGCAAGAGTCTCCAGAATGAGCATTAATGATGAAAGTTGCTTTCACATGATTATCAACCTGTTTTTAGTTTTTTCTTTTGATCAGTATCAACCTATTTTTGGATTAGTTGATTGCTAATAGATTCATTACATGGCTAGAAAAGAAAGGAAAGAAAATATAAGATAAACAATTCATTCATTCCAATCCCATCTTTTAGATATACATGGTAAGAACAATGGATATATGGATGAAATATTTACATGATTTAACTAATTTCCCCTATTTAGTGTCCTCTTTACCCAACATTTTACTGCATAGGTTCCAACTCCATCTAAAGGCACTTGTTTCCCATTCATTTGGATGTGCTTTTTCGGTCAAAATGGTTTTTTATTTTGACTAAATGAAGTTATGCGTACATAACTTGAGATTCCCCTTGCTAAAGCTGATTCTAAACACTGGACACCCCTGGATTATTCCAAGGAAATTGCTGTAGTANTTGTGTTCATCTTTCATTTATATTCCATTGTACCTGGAGTGCTGCTATGCAATCCAGGACAACAAACAGTTTTGCGTTGGTAAGGGGGGATTCTTGGGCTGCCCGACATATATGTTGAAGCAAGGAGAATCTCTTTTCTACTTTGTGTGTGAGTGGGGCTCCTTAAGTTTGATTGACTGATACTAAACTTGCAGATTTTGTGCACTCTGGTCTCAATGTTGGATCTTGCAAATTTTGTAGTGGTCTAAACCTTGGAATCGTTCTATTTTCTAGAATTGCTTGATTTCTCTTACAGTGTTATCAGTCATGTAAATGCTTTGTGTTAAGGAGTCGTGATTTGATGATTCCTTGATGCTCTTCTGGAAAGAATGATGACGGGAAGGGGGATTGGAAAGCTTCTTTCGCCTCTGACATAACACCACAGAAACAAAAAAGTAGCAACTGTGGTTTGGGTGCCTCTTCACTGCAAGAGTATATCTTGCGTGAAGATTTATGGTGTCTGTTTTTTTTTTTAGCATAAATGGTTATATGAATTGGCTCATTTATAGTAGTATAAAGAATGTCTAAAGTAACTATACTTCAATTTGCTTGAATTGATGGTTAAGAATCATAAAGGTTTGCTCGCTTGACTAACATAAGATGATATAGACTTATTCCAATTATGCCTTGCTATTTCTTTGCATTGATATTTTTTGGACCAATGTTGCATCTTTCCAGTTAGAAAAAGATATAACATTCCTTCTTACATTCAGATTCCAAAGGAAGGAAAGATATATTCAGCGAATGAAGTTTATGCCGACAAGTGTATATTTAGATGTCTTTGCATTCTTCTAAGAAAGATTCTGGTTTATTAGTATGTTATAAATGTTTCTTTGCTTCGCTACATTATCGATGAGTTCCATGCTTCAGGCTTATGGTACTGTACTAAGTTTTGTAGGGGGAAAGGAAAGTGCTTAACATGGAGGAAGAGAATGATGATAGCCAATGGAGCTGCTAAAGGTAAGTTTCAGTGCCTCTATGGCTGATCAATTAAAGATGACAAGACAATTTTGATACATGTTCCCCTTGCTATCCCACAGAAGCTGCATAACAGAATCAAAGCAACTATTAATACTTTGTGACATAAAACCAAGATGCACGTTGGTGGGAGAAGGATTTGTAGCCAAGGTCTCAGGATTCGGATCTATAGAATCAAGTGCTTGGAAATATCATATGTTAGCACTCAAATAGATGGCCATTTGAGTCTTCCTACTGGCGTATACAGCTACGGTGTTATGCAACTGTTGATTGTTGCTGCTAGATGAAAAATATAGGAAGTTAATATTATCATTTGGTTGGGCAAGGAGAGTCAATATGAAATAGCATTCTATTTCAATATGATCCATTTCCTCTACCTGCAAAAATCTTAGTGATTGATGTTATAGGCATGGATGCAAATATTCCTTTAGGCATATGGAGAAAACACACAAAAATATTTTCGCCATCATGGTTTGCAACCGTACCATTCATTGGAATGCTCAGGAAATCTGTGTTAATGCCTATAACAGCCATGACATTTACCATAGCTGCATCTGTTCTTGGGACAAGTCATAGGCTCTAGGGCTGAACGATATAGGCTGAAAGCCGTTGCAAGTAAAAAATTGATTCTTACCGAAAACTCAACTCCTGCAAACGGTCAACTCGTGGTTAATGGAGATAGAGGTGGAAACTGCAGTGAGACTGTTGATTGGAGCAAAGGTCCTCTGCAGATTGCTGGTCCCTCTTCAACAACCAGTGTATTTATCTGATGTTTGGTATCTTTGATGTTGTAATGATATGTTTCATGAGGTCGCATTCGATCTATTTGTTCTTTATATTTCTTTCTATCAGCATACAACATTCGGCAATTGAAAATGAGGGACGGGATGAGCATTGTTTCTTGTTTAGGGACAGTTGATATATTCATGAAATTTGGGAGAGTATTTTCTGTAGCAGAATACGCCAAAAGAGATTTTCTATTCAAGCTTTGATCTGAATGTGTACGTTTCTGTGTTTTGACAATACCTTGTTTTTCCTGTGTTACGCATTGCTCTTAATTGACAGAGCAGATGATTGTCACCTTCGTGATGATATTGCTACTGGGAAAATATAGCTCTTTTCAAGAATATACAGGCAATATATGAAATAGGTGGAGCCTAGAAAAATGGAAAAGAAAAAAGTTCGACCGTGAAAACAGAAACTCTGTGATTTTAAAAAGGGAAAAGAGGTAATATTTACCCCTGGAAAAGAGTTAAATTTGCTTTGATCCTGTTCAACAACAACAACATACCCACAAGTGAGATCTGGGGAAGGTAGAGTGTACGCAGATCTTATCCTGACTTTAGTAAGGCAGAGAAGCTGTTTTCGGTATACCCTCGTTAAGTAATTTTAACTTTATTAAACTTTTGGTTTAACATTTCTCCGTTAAGAGAAACCGAGTAAGTCTTGACTGTCCTTGATCTTTGACGGAGCTTCGACTTGAGGGTAACTCCATAATAAAAAATTGAGAGGTAAAATTGAATCTTTCGAAAAAATTGGACGGGTGAAGTCACAGATTTCACGCTGGAATTTCTTTAATGCAAGAGTAAAAGGAGATGATTTATTAACGATAAGAATATAGAAGGATCAGAAGTGTAACTAAGAACAAAATTAAGGGAGTAATTTCGAATAGTATATATGCAAAATTCGGACTTTTTTCCTTAAAAAAAGTGACAAATGAAAGAGAAACTAAAGTTACCTCAGGTGAAATGTTTTGTTCAAATAAGCAAACATAAAACATGTGGCATTGCTCGAAAATTTGATAGTTGCCATTCACTTTATTTAGTTTAGTGAGTAGTAATTACACGTGGCAATAGATTGAAAAGCAAACACTCGACTATATATACTTTGGATTTTGTCATCTTCAAGTTGTATTCTCCCACTTTGGTTAAGAGCTCTCTGTTTTCAAGAGTCAGTAAACAGTAAATTCTTGTGCAGTTTGGGGTTGGGGTATTATTCTTGAATTGTCTCATGCATGCATGCTTTTTATGGCCAAACTCCGTATACAAACATTGTTTCTCACATTATATTCTTTCTTTTGGTCCTGTCAATCGTTTCTAATTCCTCTGCTTCCCTTTTTTTCTCTTTAATACTCACAGAAAGATGCAAATGGGAGGGGGTTCAAAGGGAGATCCCAACACCCCAGTAAGGCTAGAGGCTGACTCCCACAGTAAGCATATTTATTACTTCTACTAGCTACTAGTACAAGTATTTTTATCATAGCGTCTTTACTCTTGTATTTTTCAAACCTGTTTTGGAAATAATTTTCTTAGTTGAGGGTGTACCGGAAACAACCTTGTAGGAGTAAGGTGCGGACACTCTACTCTCCCCAAACCCCACTTGTGGGATCGCACGGAGTATGTTGTTGTTACTAGCTACTAGTACTTAATTATGGAGTTATATTATTCAATTCAAAAATTAGACATATACATGCAATAACACTATTACTGTTCAAATTTATGTAGTTACAAATCACATGCATAGAATAAATTTCTGTTGAGTTACAATATCCTTTTCCGGAAAATTCTTTACCATAAATGATGAGTTTTGAGCACAAAATGAGCGGTAAATTGATGAATTCAGCACTGCTTATTGTTTACATACTATGTGACTGGATTATCTAAGGCCTAAAAATAATGTACTCCTATATCATCCTCTTGATTGGTTGCAGAATTGTAGTCTCCCAATTCATGCATTTGGGGTAATTGTTGTATTACTGGGATTTCATCTATATACTAAGGGGTCTTTTTTCCGCAGATTATTATTCGCTTCGACCACGGAAAAGAAAGGAGATATTTAGCTCGGGAGCAGGTGATTAATCTAATAAAGGTTCTGTAGTTTTGGGATCACTCAGCTGAAAGCATTTGTTTTTTGACAGATAAATATTCTCTCCGTCCAAGGAAAATAAAGCACAGGTTTAGCATGGGAGCAGGTAATGAATTCAATTGCACATTGTTAGTTGAAGAGTGGGACAAGTTTTTCACTATGGGGATAAATCAACATGATCTATACAATTACTACCTTTTTATTAAAACCATATTTTGCTTTGGTCAAAGAAAGGAAAGATTCAGACAAGGAAAAGTTTAAGTTAAACAATGCCTCCATATTTTTGAAAATTTGCAAAAAGTTTTATGCTTTTTACATGCTTGTTACAAAGGTGAATGCTAGTGGACTATGCATATGTGTGGTATGTTTTATGGCAGAATATAGGGATCAGGAAAAATTTGATTGAATTCAAGAAACTTTACATAGTTACAGTTGTGGTTATTTTACAACTCCTATTTTATATTAGGGTAGGCTGGCTACATCATACCCCTTGGGGTATGTTCCTTCCCCCGGACTCTGCGTAAATGCGGGATGCTTTGTCCACGCAATACTACACTTAAATCTCTTTTAACTTCAACATCCAATTTTACATTTTGGGACAAAATACTTTAGGTCATGCATGCAGTACTTTATCTTCTGTCATGCGCATAAAATGGATTCGTGGGAAGCATGAGAAGTCCTTTGTTTGTATAGAACACACAAAAGATGTATTCATGGTTTTGTGATTTCTCAATAACCATGTCCCCTTCATATTTACTAAATAAACCAAGTCAACTATTTTTGTGCTTGATAATTATCTCAAGATTGAGCTTGTACCATGTGATATCTATAATTGTTTCTATTGGAGATTTAGAATTGATGCCACTTTCCAGGATATTACTAAATTATGTTTTAGCAGACGATGAAGAAAAAGACGAATACGAAGGCTTGAAATTTAACAAGACGCTGGGGCAAAGAGCCGAAACTAAGAATTACAAGCCAAAAGTAGTGCTTGAAGATAATCTTGTTAAGACCTTTAGCCCTGAGACACCGAAATGTGCTACCGAAAGAGTAAGAGAAGAATTATTGGGAGATGAAGAACCCTTGGAAAGATCCTGTAAGCGAGCTTTGGGTTTTGATTCTGGGAATATTGAGAAAGATGATCTAGTTGCTGAAGCTGTTAATAGCCCTGTTTATGCGATCCAAACTGCTGATAGTTTCCCATGCAGTCAAACTTTTTCGGGGGATCCAAGCTCCTCAAAGAAGCTTGGTCCATCGTCGGTTCCTTCCAAGATTCTCCGGGCAAAACTTTTCCCTTATTTCTTCGCTGTCAATCCTGCAAATGTTGTTTCACTATAATCTCTTCCGTTTCTGATCCGAAGAGTTCTACTATTATTTGTTGCAGGTTTACCATAGAAGATATGAGAAGAATCAGAGACACAATAAATGCATAAAAGTTCAGCCATTCTTTCAGGGGCATAACAAGCCTCTCCAGGCAAAAGCTTGCCCTCTATTTCTTCAACTGTTATTACTACAAAAGTTGTTTCACTGTCGTTTCTAACCCGAAGTATGCTACTACTATTCATTGCAGCTGTACCATAGAAGATTTAAGAAGAAGAATCAGAGACATAACAAGTGCATAAAAGTTCGCCCATTCTTTCAAGAAACGCGGAACAAGAAGCGGAAAGCATCAATATGTACTATGAAAGGTAACGAAGACGGTGGTTTGCCGTGGTTATACAAATTCCTTGGATTCATAATATGTGTGGCATGCCATTTAACAAGCAATTCTATATTTCCTTTGATGTAATTTTTTTACAGGTATAGAGGACAGCCAAACCAGCCTTTCAAATCTCAAAAAACCAAAGCTTCAAGTACCTAACAGTGAAAGTGGAACGATAGTGAAACGTAGTAAGAATTCTCAAACACATCACAAGCAGCAAGATGCACTAGTCCCAATCAATGAAACACCTAGTTACACAGACAAAATGATCTTAAGAACAAAAGTAGTCCTCGATGAGGAGACAATACGAGAGTGGAAATTGCTGATGCAACAACCGGAAGAAGAAGGCTGCGGATCAGCGGAATCTGATAAGTGTAAGAAAACGTGGGAAACAGAGAGGGAATTGTTCCGCGGACGAGTGGCATCATTTGTTTCTCGCATGCATCTTATCCAAGGTATTAGATTATGCTTCTATTTTTATGCTTCTTTTTTTTAAATCACGGTATCAAAATGTGATAATCTAATTTCCTATATGCAACTCTGAAAGATAGAAATTTGTTCAGCATAAATGAAGCAATAGCCTTTATTTAATTCCAGAAATTTCAAGTCTAGAATTCAGAAACATCATCGGAAATTGCATGAACTTGCACGTGTCTGTAAAGTGGAGTCGCAGCATTGCCAGGGCATAATTTTAAAATTATTGAAAAATCACTTTAGCAGGCCAAATTCAAGCAGACAAACTGCTGCTAACTGTTTGTAATGTGCAACTTGACGAAATACTTGTCTCAGAACATCACCAAAGCTAAACTCTATCACCTAAGATGAAAACACTATACTCATTAACGGCTCCACCTTTTGAAGTATCAAAATGCGAGTTTATGCATCACATGTTATGAATACAAATTCAGATGTTTCAGGGCAGTGGCAGAACCAGAATTTTCACTGATGGAATTCAAAATATACGGTATATACCTAACAATTAACTTTGACCTTATATATGCAGTTTAATTTCTAAGCGAAGGGGGTGCAGATGAACCTCCTCACACCCCCTAGCTCCGCCCATGTTACAGGGTGATTTCTCTTGGGGAGAGTCAAACTATGGCTTTGATTGTAATCTTTTCTGATCTGTAGTGTTGACAAGAGTGGGTTGCTCTAGTGGTGAGCACCCTCCACTTCTAATCAAGAGGCTGTGAGTTCGAGTCACCCCAAGAGCAAGGTGGGGAGTTCTTGGAGGGAGGGAGCCGAGGGTCTATCAGAAACAGCCTCTCTACCCCAGGGTAGGGGTAAGGTCTGTGTACACACTACCCTCCCCATACCCCACTAGTGGGATTATACTGGGTTGTTGTTGTTGTAGTGTTAGCCTATAAAGAAAACATGATAAGAACTTGAGAAATGTAAATTTTTAGATGTTAAAGAATGGAATCCACAACTGGAATATTTCACATTATCCTAAAGAAGGTTTACCACTTCTTCTCTCTAATCATCATATAAAGAGAATGTGAAGTCGGTGTCAAAATTAGGTACAGGAAGACATAACTGGGTGCTGCTTATATATTTTACAGGTGATAGACAATTCTCACAGTGGAAAGGTTCAATTGTAGATTCTGTGGCTGGGGTATTTCTGGCTCAAAATGTGGCCGACAACTTGTCAAGGTAAATTAATTTTGTAGTTTGCAATGAACTTTCCACAATGAATTCTTATTGTGTCCATTTTTCCACACAAAAAACAAAGGAAAAAAAGGAGAGAAAATCTGAATAGTGTTCTCTTTAATTGTCTGTGCTGATGCATTTGCAGCTCTGCTTTCATGTCCCTTGCTGCTGAATATCCTTATAATTCAACCTCTGCTGAAAATGTTACAACGAAAGCAGAAAGTGCACTGATGTCAGAAAAAGCTACTGAAAATATTTTATCATGTCAATCCCACAATGCAAAAGCAAAGATCAAGCTGGAGAAATCATCAAAAGGAAGTGCTATTACTTTGAGACAGTGGATAAACCGGAGAAAAGTATTGAATCGGTGGAAGAGGAAAAAAGAGGACATAGGAGATCAACAAGCTGAACCAGTTTTAAGAAGGAAAAATGAAGACTTGACAAGTGTAGCCATTAAATGGGATAACATACTGAAGTCATCTGCCTTTGTTAATCCCAAAGAGAGAAGTGATAACACATTAGATGCGATAGATTGGCATGCGGTTCGTGCAGCAACAGTGGATGAGATATCGAGAGCTATCATGCTGAGGGGAATGGACAAAAAACTTGCACTAAGAATTAAGGTAAAACAATGTTGTATATAGTCAGTATGCACTTCTTTTAAGGCATGAAAACTGAAATGCTCAATTCATACAGAATTTTATCAACCGCCTGATGCTGGAACAAGGGAAAGTGGACCTAGAATGGCTACGTGAAGTTCAACTAGAAAAGGCAAAGTAATTTCTGCACCTTCTTTTATATGAAATCGACAAAACCTAGATAGTTGGTGAGATAGGCAATGCCAGGGTCGGAGTCACAAGCCTGCGTACGGGTTCGGTAGAACCAGTAGCTTTGGCTTTGCGCCTGTATTTTTGGTTAAAAATTTCATTAAATACGTATAAATAATTTATCCAGAATCTAGTAACCTTCTCTGAAATCCAGAACCCATAAACTCAAAATCCTAGCCCGGCCTCTGGGCAATCCAGAAGTTAACTGAGCTTTGAAAGTGTACTTCAAGAAGTGATGATAGAGCTTTGTTTGTTGCAGAGAATACTTGCTGAGCATTTATGGTTTGGGACTGAAAAGTGTAGAATGCATAAGATTGCTCACTCTCCAACAGCAAGCCTTCCCCGTAAGTTTATATTATAAACGTGTGGAAACACCTGTTAATGTGGGTCTGAAAGCTTTTTATCGTTAACACCCTTTATTATTTGATAAGGTTGACACAAATGTAGGACGAGTACTCGTGCGACTGGGTTGGGTACCTATTCAACCACTTCCACGAGGACAAGAGATGCATCTTTTAAAAATGTAAAAATTTGGATTTAGCAATTGGAGCTGTCAAAATTTCATATTGTAAGTTTTTCTCCTTGTTCCTGATATGTCATGCTTTAGGTACCCGAATGTGAAAGATGTTCACAAGTATCTCTGGCCACGGTTATGCACAATTGATTATTTAACACTGTAAGGATCGACTTGCAAAAAGCTCATCTTTAGACTTACAAATATATAATGATTGATTTATTCCAGCAGAAATATTAGTGAAAGTCATTCTGTATTCCTTTGTGATTGCTTGTAGGTATGAATTTCATCATCAGATGATTACCTTCGGAAAGGTTAACTGTCATTAATCTTAAATTGTGTTTTTTTTTTCTTTAATGAATAGGACTTTGGGACTGTAATTTGGTGCCTTACAGGTATTCTGTACGAAATCAAGCCCAAATTGTAACGCATGTCCGATGAAAGCAGAGTGTAAACACTTTGCAAGTGCTTTTACAAGGTTTGCTCTTTCCGCATTGCCTTGATTATTAACCATACATTATATCTCCCTATCATTGATGCTTCTAAATATTTTTCAGACAAACTTAACATAATTTGAACATTGATTGCAGTGCAAGAGTATGCCTGCCGGGACCAGGGGAAAGGAGCTTTGCAAATACAGATACTACTTTAGCACCTGTAGACAGTGTGGCCGACGGTATTTCTGTTCTCAATCGAACAGCAATTGTTCCTTTATTGGGGGAAGCCTCAAGTTCAGAACATTTGATTGGAGATCACCGGAATGAGCTTATTACCTATCCAGCACTTGAATGTATTGGAGAAACAGAAATTGAAGATCAATATGCCAGTGACATACCTAGAATAACATTTGATGGCAAGGCATTCGTGGAAAATTTATTACGCTACATATATGAGACTGATCTCTCGATAAAGGACACTGATATGTCTAAGGCTTTGGTCATTGCCACTCAAGAAGCAGCATCTATCCCTTTGCCTAAATGGAGGAATATAAGTCGGTTAAGGACGGAGCACCAAGTGTAAGTATGTAATAAGTTTTCATTTATTTTTGCCATTTGATTGACCTTACTTGGGAAAGCTATGCGACACTGTAAGCTGAATCTGTAATAAAGAGGATGTGGTTTCCCAGAATTCTATGCAATGCTGAAGTGTTTAACTAAGATGCTCATAAACTTTTTTTTTCTATGTGCTGCAGCTATGAACTTCCAGATTCACATCCACTGTTAGAAGGGGTAAGTTAAGTTACCAACATAAAAGAATGATTGTAAGCATGCCTTGTGATTTGGTTAAGTTTTGACTAAATTCAGCATGCAAATGCAGCTAGAGCAACGAGAACCTGAAGACCCGTGCCCGTATCTACTAGCAATAAGGATACCAGGTCATTGCTTCCTGAAAAGTTATGATATTGGGAATTACTTGAATGAACTAAGTTTCTAGAAAATTATGCTGGAAAAGCACAATGACCTCACACTTATAATTCAAGAACCCTATTGTTAATAGCACGTGATCTACTTGGTACAGGAAATGCGGCTTCCGCAGAACCTCCAAAAGAGAAGTGTGAATCCTGTAATTCCGATGAAACTCTAAACAAAGTTGAGAAGTGTGGATCCTGTAATTCTGATGAAACTCAAAACAAGGTCGCTGTGTTAAATAATGAACCAGGAGACAATATCGAGACAGTTCGTGGGACACTTCTGGTGAGATAAACTTAGCACTTAATTATTACTATACCCATGGTTGGGAAAATTTAACCTTCTAATTTCTTTGCAGACTTTTGGCATTTATTTATCCATTAAAAACTAACTCCTAAGGCCATCTTCAGATTCCGTGTCGAACAGCAAACAGAGGAAGATTTCCACTCAACGGAACATACTTCCAAGTAAATGAGGTGAACTTTGCCCTCTCTCCTTGTTAATCTCATGATAATATAGAGTCATATTGTGGTAAATAATATACTCATTAATGCGACCATTCCATGCATGTCACATTTAATTTCATTGTGAAATAACAAAGTGATTTATGCAGGTTTTTGCAGATGAAGAATCCACTAAACAGCCAATTGATGTTCCGAGGGCATGGATATGGAATTTGCGGAGAACGACCCTATATTGTGGCACCTCCATCAGAGCAATATTTAGAGGTAGAGACACAATAGCCGTTAAATAGTCGAAAATGCCATAAATTGGAAACTTCTCTTACAATATGTCTTATGTGAAATCAGGGATGTCAACAGAGGAAGTACAAAATTGCTTTTGGAGAGGTATGAAGTGATTTCTTTCATAAATAAACAATGTCAACATTCTTACACGAACAGGGTCTGAACTAGTGGTACTTTTGATATGGTATATGACATGGTAAAAAGGTGTATAGTAGTTTGTGAGATGTAATTTTGCTGTAAAATCTAGGTAAATCAATGTTATGTTTTTTAGTACAACCTAAAAACAATTTCACTAACTTTTGTTAAGTGTTGCAGGATATGTATGTCTGAGAGGATTTAACCGAAAAACACGAAAACCTGGACCTCTTCCCCTTGACCTTCATCGTCCAATAAGCAAACCAGGAAAACTGAAGAGTGAAGGAAAAAGAGAATAAAATTGTGACAACACCACCTTATTAAACATTTTGCTTATGTCCAGACTGTTGAATTATGATCACCACGTTTTTTGTTTCTTCTCTCCATGTTCAATCATGTAATTAATCAAGCTAACTTTGATGCAAAATTAAATTTATGGCTAAGCCAAGCATTCTTTTTTACTCAGTCTCGGCGCAGCTTTTGTGAACTGAACTTGAGTTGATTGCTAATATAATTCATTAAAAAACTGGAAAATAAAAGATGAGATGAACAATTCGTTGATTTCAAATCCATCTTTCAGATATAACTGTCACGACCCAAATTCCCTCCGTAATATGTCGTGATGATACCTAATCTCTAAAATTAAGGTAAGCCTATCAATACGGAATAATAATAAATTTCTGAAATAAATGAATTACAATTCAAACAGTTTCAACTCCCAAAACCCGGTAGAAATAAGTCACAAGCTTCTAAAAATTTATTCTCTATGTCTCTCTACATCAGAGTGTAAAGCAAATAAGGAAGACAACATAGTAAGATAGAAGGGGACTCCGGAGTCTGCGGACGCTGACAGATATACCTCGAAATCTCCTCGTACAACTAGTTTACTGATGCCTGGTTTGATAAGATGTACCTGGATCTGCACAAAAAGATGTGCAGAAGCGTAGTATGAGTACACCACAGCGGTACCCAGTAAGTGCCAAGTCTAACCTCGGTAGAGTAGTGACGAGGTCAGGTCAGGCCCTACTGGAGAATAAATAATGGCATGGTAAAATGTTTAAACAATATTATAAGATAAAATGACAATGGAAATGAATCAAGTAGTATGTCACATTTAATTATACCAAATAATGGCAAATAAATACCTCGTGGAAACAAAACAAAATTCTTTTCAATTTTAAGAAAATCACAACAATAATCAAATGCAACTGTGGCCATAAATCAATATCAACAAGGGCACTCCCGAGGTACCGCCTCGAAGTCCCAAATCATAAACAAATTCAAAATATCTCATTTCCTTATCTCACCGCGGGAGCCTTCACAATTTATTTTAAAGAAAATATTTTTTCCGAAATAGCATCCCGCGTTTTAGCCATCCTTATCACACCGCATGACTTCTAGTAGTTCTCCCTACTAGCCACGCGTATCAAGCCACCCTTACCCCAATATTTTTCCTTGAAAATATATCAAAATCGTCTCTCCTCAAGCTCCAATTCGTCAAAAATGACAAATAGGACGAAGTCCCCTGTTTTTTTATAACTTACAGATCTATCAGGGAGCCCGATTTATCGGAGAGCCCGATTGTCAGGGAGCCCGATTTGTCAGGGAGCTCGATTTGTCAGGGAGCTTGATTTTGATAGTATTTCCAGCAGAAAAATTACAGCAGCATAGTCCCACTTTTGATCCGTTAACCATCCGAAACTCACCCGAGGCCCTCGGGACCTCAACCTAATACACCAACAAGTCCTAAAACATCATACGAACTTATTTGAAACCTTAAATCAAGTCAAACAATGCTAAAATCACAAATTACACCCCAATTCAAGCTTAATGAAACTCAAGAATTTTTAACTTTTACATTCGATGTCGAAACCTATCAAATCAAGTCCGATTGACCTCAAATTTTGCACACAAGTCATAAATGACATAACAGAGCTGTAAAAATTTTTAAAACTGAATTCCGACCCCGATATCAAAAAGTCAACTTCCCGGTCAAACTTACAAATTTAAATTCCTATTTTAGCCATTTTAAGCCTAATTTCACTACGGACTTTCAAATAAAATTTCGATCGCGCTCCTAAGTCCAAAATCACCATACGGAGCTGTTGGAATCAGCAAAATTCTATTCGGGAGTCGTTTGCACATAATTCGACATCCGGTCACTATTTGAACTTAGACTTTTAATTTTTTATCAAAATTTCATATCTCGGGCTAGGGACCTCGGAATTAAATTTTGGAAATATGCCCAAGTCCCAAATCACGATACGGACCTATCGGAACTGTCAAAATACTGATCCGAGTCCGTTTGCTCAAAATGTTGACCAAAGTCAACTCAGTTGTGTTTTAAAGCTCTAATTCATATTTTAATCCATTTTTCACATAAAAACTTTTCGAAAAATTTTACGGACTGCGCACGCAAGTCGAGGAATGATAAATAGTACTTTTTGAGGTCTTAGAACACAGAATTAATTATTAAATTTAAAGATGACATTTTAGGTCATCACAATCTCCACCTCTAAAACAAACGTTCGTCCTCGAACGGAGTTAGAAAAAGTACCTAAGCTGATGAATAAGTGTGGATAACAGCTGCGCATATCATGCTCAGTCTCCCAAGTCGCCTCCTCGACTGGATGACCCCTCCACTGAACCTTCACGGAAGCAATATTCTTTGACCTCAGCTTTCGAACCTTCCTATCTAAAATAGCCACTGGTTCCTCAACATAAGATAGATCCTTGTCCAACTGAACCGAACTGAAGTCTAACACATGAGACGGATCGTCGTGATGTTTTCGAAGCATGGAAACATGGAATACCGGATGAACCGTAGAGAGACTAGGTGGTAGTGCAAGTTTGTAAGCCGCATCTCCAACTCTTTCAAGAATCTCAAAAGGCCCAATATACCTAGAGCTCAACTTGCCCTTCTTCCCTAACCTCATCACACCCTTCATAGGCGAAACCCGGAGCAATAACCTCTCACCAACCATGAATGCAACATCACGAACCTTCCGATCCGCATAACTCTTTTGTCTAGATTGGGATGTACGAAGCCGATCCTGAATCAACTTAACCTTTTCCAAGGCATCCTGAACCAAGTCTGTACCCAATAGTCTAGCCTCACCCGGTTCGAACCAACCCACTGGGGACCGGCACCACACACCATACAAGGCCTCATATGGAGCCATCTAAATGCTTGACTGGCAGCTGTTGTTGTAAGCAAACTCCGTAAGTGGTAAGAACTGATCCCAAGCACCCTCAAAATCTATCTATCACACATGCACAAAGTATATCCTCAAGTATCTGAATAGTGCGTTCGGACTGCCCGTCCGTCTGAGGGTAAAATGTTGTACTCAACTCCACATGAGTACCCAACTCTCGATGTATAGCCCTCCAAAACAGTGAGGTAAACTGTGTACCCCGGTCAGAGATGATAGATACCGGTATACCGTGAAGTCTGACAATCTCGCGAATATATACCTGAGCCAGTTGCTCAAAAGAGTAGGTAGTAATCACATGAATGAAATGAGCTAACTTGGTCAATCTATCCACAATCACCCAAACTGCATCGAACTTCCTCCGAGTCCGTGGGAGCCCAATAACAAAATCCATAGTGGTCCGCTCCCATTTCTATTCTGGAATCTCTAACTTCTGAAGCCATCCACCCGGTCGCTGATGCTCATATTTCACTTGTTGACAATTTAGACCCCGAGCTACATACTCCACTATGTATTTCTTCATCCGCCTCCACCAATAGTGCTGTCTCAAGTTCTGATACATCCTTGCAGCACCCGGATGAATGGAGTACTGCGAACTGTGAGCCTCCAAGAGAATCAACTCACGTAAGCCATCTACATTGGGTACACATAGCCTGCCTTGCATCCGTAATACACAGTCATCTCCAATAGTGACTTCCTTGGCATCACCGTGCTGAACTGTATCCTTAAGGACAAGCAAATGGGGGTCATCATACTGACGTTCTCTGACACGGTCATAAAAAGAAGACTGAGAAATCACACAAGCCAAAACTCGGCTCGGCTCGGAAACATCTAGTCTAACAAACTGGTTGGCCAAGGCCTGAACATCCAAGGCTAAAGGCCTCTCTGCTACCGGTAAATATGCTAAGCTGCCCAAACTTTCTACCTTACGACTCAAGGCATCGGCCACTACATTGGCCTTTCCAGGATGATAGAGAATGGTGATATCATAATCTTTAAGCAACTCCAACCACCTATGCTGTTTAAAAAGATGCTGTAGACTTTGGTGATCGGTGTAGACCTCACAATGGACACCGTACAAATAATGTCGCCAAATCTCCAAGGCATGAACAATAGTTGCTAACTCAAGGTCATGGACCGGATAATTCTTCTCATGTTCCTTTAACTGTCGAGACGCGTAGGCAATCACCCTACCGTCTTGCATCAATACTGCGCCGAGACCAATATGCGACGCGTCACAATACACAGTATAAGACCCTGAACCTGTAGGTAATACCAATACTGGGGCTGTAGTCAGGGTTGTCTTGAGCTTTTGGAAGCTCTCCTCACATTCTTCGGTCCACCTGAACGGAGCACCCTTCTGGGTCAATTTGATCTTAATAGTTGTTCATAATAAATTACAGAATCGCCAATTAACTTCATATTAACAAAAATCTCATTTCAAACCTTCACAATACTGATAACGAGACACGGGACATGAAGACCTCATAATTATTTATCCGAATTAATGAGTCACATTTAACATCACCTGGGCGGGAACCTACCTCGTAGGTTAAAACGCAATAATTACAACACAAATTTGGCAAGTATGCACAAATAATTTCATATAAAAATTTTCAAATAAGCCTAACAGACATGACTCCCTATTAGTACTATAGTACAAATTAAAATTCACAAGGGAGAACTTAAACTCAAGAATTTTTCTCACAAGGATCTCGTCCTTATATAACTTCCACCGCAGCTCGTAGCCCGGTTTAAACATATCAGTTTATATTAAAATGCGAGGATCTCGTCCTCGGTTCTGAATCACAAGTAATATGCACATCGTGCCAATCGAAAATTTTCATTTGCTCTTTCTAAATAATTTTCGTTAAACAAAATCACATCACATAATGAACCCCACACCAGTAGGGTATATAATTCACAATTTATAATTAATTATCCGTAAATTACATCAAAACTTACCGAAATGAGTAACAGAAAGCCACATTTAGCCTCACAGTCTTATTAGTGACCAACATGGAATGATAGGCGTAGTTATCTCCATGGAATCTCCCAACAGGAGTAAACACATAAGTAGATTATAGAATTATAAAACTCACTCATAAGTGAAAGACAATAGGAGGACTCGTCTCGATACTCAGAACCGAATCAAGTTACGGAAATTATTCCTTTATATTAAATCAAGGTCGTACCTGTAACG